TCTCAAGCTAAAACTCGGCCGGAAGGAATCGCAGCTTGGTCACACTAAAAGTTCGCCTCCGCATGTTCTTATACCATAAAGCAAAAGAAGGATGATCTAATGTCTTCAAGAATCCTTATCTACTTGACCCTTATATGCACCTGAAGCCCAAGTAACTGGAAGACAAGTCAGAATGGTAAAAAACACTGCGGTTTTGTAACAGGATCTAAAGTAGAACATAAGGTAAAAGGAAACCCGGGGACTGCGCCCACCTGATGAGCCCGAAGTGGAAAGGCGAAACAGGTCGTGGGCTGTCGAAGAGTTTTAAGCAACCCATACTCTACTTTAGGAAAAAGGATCTAAAGTAGCTTTTTCATCGCCTGAACAAAAAAAAGTACGGCGTCCCAGTGTTAAGATGTGGTCAATAACATAGATAGAACTGCAACAGTGCCCACCTTGGTGATTTTGGCATAACCACGCCAATCGGAATTCAGCCAAAGATGCTGATTGATCACAACTGTTCACGACATTACACAAACCAAAGTGGCTTGCCCTGACCAAACTTAGCTGCTTCACTCCTTTATGGCCTCCAATAACCTAATCTGAGTTTGGGAAATATGCCAGATAATGCATTCACTTCACTTAGTAGACGAATATGATTCGTCACATGTGTGTCAGTCACCCATAAACTGGAGAGTGGTCGTCCCTAGGACGATAACATGATCCAGCAATTGGTCGGTTGAGATGTTTGTAAGATTGCAGGTGCGACGGACCACTCTGACTATTTTTGATATGACACTAGTCATTGATGTGATGAGAATTTTCGCACATTTTTCGAGTCCATCGGATGGGTCTGGTCTCCGAACGGAAACAGCAGAAGGGTGCATCTACGACCACGCATCGCATTTGGAAATTGAGATGTTGTTGGCCGGAGACTTAGCTAAATTCCTAGTTTATGGTTTAGCTGAAATTCAGTCGCGTCGCGCGTTACAGCTAACTTACTTTGCAAATGAGTGTCAATCTCTTGGGCAACTTTGTGAATTCTCATGAAAGCTCACTCAGAATATTTGTCCTAATTAGATCAGGAAATATGATAGGAGAGATACGGTGAAAGCATGTGAGCACACAAAATTGCAAAATTTTTATGGGAAGCTAAATGGGTGTAGCGTTTAGACAGGAAAGGTAAAAGCACAAATTTGGATACAACTGATTCATTCAGTCGCGTTCTCGGAGATTTCACCTCTTACGGGGATTGAGATTCGGCAAAAATGCACAGTCCATTGTCACAATATACCCTTGGTTGAACCTAAACAGCTCGTCGGTGTCGTCCAGATAAGTTGGGTTTTCTGGGTCGCATAGAGTTAGCAGGCTGACAGTATAACAGCACGTGGTTTCAGTAATAAAAATGATGTTCCACGCATCTGATTCCTTAACTTGTGAGGGCACGCAATTTGAATGAAGAGTGATGCTGACAGTGTTTCAGCCTCTTCAATAAGAGTCCGTTCACAGTCATGCTCCAGAAGGCTCGTTTCGAACAGGGGAAAGCCAATATGCATAAGCTACATTATTTCAATGTTTTACAGATCCCGAAAAGTCTTCATCATTTTGCTCACGCATACGCAGACAGCCATAGGAACCAACTGCCGCCTTCTCGAGAATCGCTTCGCAAACTTATTTTCCACCCGATCTATTTCAGTAGGTACATTGTTTCAAGTGTCCATGACCGTAAAAGTTCATGGGGTTGAATTCCCGCGTTATTGACAGTCCATCAAACGGTCTCCCTAGGCTGATTTAGCGATTCGAGAGTGGTTCGCTTAGATGATTGGATACACTTTATGCACAGTGTCAGAGAGCAATCTGTTCGGATCACAGCTGATCCGACGCCAAGAAGATTCACCGCCCTTTAGCTGAGTAATCACTTTCGGGTCACGGTGTCCCAAGAGAAAAGGAGAATAGAATAATTTTAGCTAAAAAAATATGTGCCCATTTGGCCTTAAGATTCACACGGAAGGATATTTAATGGTGCGGGTTGCATCCTAATTTTGTTTTCGTTCGTCCGGTAGTGGATAAACCGATCCTGGATAATCGACGCCAGTTTCGGTATAGTATGGCTTGCAGCAAGAGTTGTTTTACAACAGTTCAATTCAGCGACATCCAGAAGAGACCAGTAGTGTTTATCCTGTCTCGATGCGTCCAGCCAACACAATAAGGGAGATCATCTGGGCTTCTGAAGCTCCCCTTCTCAAACTTCCATGCAGCTGTCACGCGATACGGACAACTTTCGCTGGTACTCTACTTAGTTTAAGTCGGCTTTTCTACAATAAGCCTGATTAAGCTAGCTGCCACTCATAATTATGTATGCGCAAAACCAAGTTTAATCACCATCAGTGAAGTTGCTGAATACAAACCAACCTACAGTGACATGATTTATTTAAACGGGCGAACCTTACGGCGCTTGGTTTACCGGGGTCACTGGCTTTCTTCAAGACTAACTTTAGGTAGACATACATAAAACGATCGATTTACGTTTCCGCACATAAACGCAACTCCATTTGAAACAGCTGAGAGTTTAAATCGCCGCTCTCTGAACCCGTTCCGGTCTCAACTTGTTCGGCTGCGGTGGCAATCAAGTTTTGCCGCCAATACAAATATAACTCTAGAAACGTAGCAACAAACGATCCGAAAGTGAGTCACCGTACGGTCACATATTTCATCGACCCTATTTGTGAAATCTGCCACGTCAAAAAGGTAGCAAATGTTCCCGCGCTGGAATGCAGAAACCTAGAGATCGTAAAGCATGGAAATCCAACATTGCGAAAGACGAAGACAAATCGCTTCACAAATGATTTATCGTCAGCCGATTCTTCTCTCTACATCACTTTCCTTCACGAGTGTATCCAAGGTGAAGATCTATCCACATTTATGGAATAAAGTCAACACCATTGTTGAATATAGGTAGCACCGAAAAGGACAGAAACTCGTGGATTTCAGACATAGTCCAATACACGAAAGTTTTCGATAAACATGGTACCGTCAGTATTTCTGCTGATCAAAACATCCAAAAAGGGAAGTTTGTTGTCATCTTCAAATCCGAAGGTGAGTAAAATATTCTGATGAAGAGTGGTAAAAACAAAGAGGCGTTCAGTCTGTCTCTAATTGTTTGTGATGAATAAATTATCACTAAGTATTTTCTACAAAGGGGCAATTGTTATACGTCGGCTTCAGCTGAATGCATAAGTCTGACCATAGAAGATTTCAGCTAGGGTTGCTCCCAGCTTGCTTATGACTATCCCCGTGCAGGTAAAACATGACAGCAAAATGACATCTTTAAGAATTTGGACGGGGAGCTTGACCGAACCTTAATGAGATTCCAGATAATTGGCCAAAATACCACAACTGCAAGAACGGGAACCTTGGTAAAGAGTGACTGCACATCAGACCATTTCGTGAGAGATAGCAACCTCCTCTAAGTGAACTAAAAGTTCACAAGTGCTTTTCAAGCACTATTTTGTGAGGACTGCTCTGGTAGGTCTAAGAACATCTACCAGCCATTTAGTTAGTTGATGGCAGGGTGAACGAATGCCATAGCGCCAAATATGTTAGAAAAACTAGGTTATGACGAGGTATTGGCCGTTCCACTCAAAATGAGCAGCTTGGTAGGACAGTTTTCGTGCGCAGCACAATTTCCCGCCTAAAATTACTTCGGTTAACCACAGGCCTTAGTCGCAGCACTGTACGGCGTTTGGCGTCGGACGCTACAGCGCTTCGATTGGTCTACCGTCAACGACCAATCATCACTTAGTATCGAAGGTTTGCGAGGTTATTACCGCGGGAGGCTAAGAACCTTGGTTTCTTACGCTAAAAAATGTGATTATCCGTACTAGCCATCTTAGGTCAAAATGTCGGTCCTCGATACTGTGTGCTAAGCGTTTTTTCTTTATCCATTTATGTCGCACCTTCCTCAAACATTCATTGACAAACTCTGCGTACTTACTTCGTATGAAAACGACTTTAGGAGGAAAGGCAAATTTGGTCTTATTAGGGGGGTTGCAGTTCACAGGGAAGAACCCAAAACTTACCTGGATACGAGCAGCCACAGAATTGCATTGAAGGTTCCGTTAAGAGAGCAGTAGAAGCAGTAAAACAAAGAGAAATTCTGAATGATAACGGGACATCCATTAGGGCGATCGGAATTGTTCTCTCGTGCAGCGGCTTTTCCCACAAGTGTTCAGTTTTACAAAAATGAAAATGTCTGAGACATGGCTTCTCAATTTTACTACCGTTGGTCGGACTGTTAAGAGTTGCGTCATGGTCCGTCAAAACCAAGTGAGAACACCTATATCTGGTGGAGGAGATTGATTCAGTTGAAGCCCTCTGATTCTCCCTCCTGATTGATAATGAAATCAATTTTCACGGCACCGTCCTTGGAGCTTTCCGGTTTTGGAGTAGTGCCAGGTTCGTTAAATGCTTTCCCTATCTGGCACTCAATCGTAACCCCTTCCTTTAGCCTATCACACTTATTCCCCCAGAACGCTTTCAATTCATGTCACGCAACCATATAAGTTACGAAATTTCAACATGCTCGTCTAGATTCTTGAGCTAAACACGGGGAGTCAGGAAAAATAACAAGGGGGGAGAACGGGCAAAAAAATCGGTCATTCACCGATACAAAGTTCTTTTGGGAGGGGATTTGTGGCTTCATGAGACCGCTTTGGTTTTACTGACCTCATGACGTCACACGAGACTCGCTTAAGAATCCTATTGTACTTGTAGTTTGATATATCACCAACTTCACCCCCTTTTGCGGGGCGGACTAAAAGAGGATTCATTCGGAAACTGTGTTCTTCTGATTGCACTGTTTAATTAATGGAACCAAGGCTTTAAGGCACAATTTTAGCTACAAAGATAAGAAGGCACAAATGAAGAAAAACGTTCCACTTAATCGTCAAACATGTGTTTTACCACACAAGTCGGCTTCATCTGAGCAAGCAGCCGAATAAAATGATCATCTCAGTGCGTTTACCTGAGCACATTCGAGGATCTATCGAAGGTATGTCAACCCCCTAATATGCATTTGAGAATTTGGTCACTTCGAAGGGGGATCTATCCTAGTGACCACCGACATCCGGGATATTGCAGAATATTGCGAAATTTCGGTATGGAACAGTTGCCGAACACTGACCAACGAGATAACATGCAAGAAGATTGTATATTTGCAAATCCAACTTTAATGGAAACACGATCAGCAATTCATGTAGGAAATATTTAAGTGATTATTAAGCAAAATCAATAAGCATTCTCAGTTTAAATGCACTGTTTTTTCTTATGAGTTTGCGAAATACCTCAAGTGCCAGCAGAAGTTGAATTTTTTCCTATTCATCAAATACGATGTGTTTTGATCTTTTCTCCAGGGGAACAGTTTCTGATAGATCAGCACGGTTCTTGGTCGAAGCAGTAGGCACATCATCCCGTTGAGTACCGCTCGATTCAGTTTTCTTTCGCTGACGTCGTTTAAACTGCAAACGGCGACGACGTTCGGCCGCTCCTGTCAACGAGGCTGAAATGGCTTTGCAATAGGCTGTTTCGCTCGGACCGGATAACAAATGCAATTTAATAGGACCCACGGGTGACTTAAGATCTGCGGCAAATTGAGCAAGGGTGAGGGCATCTGCCCTGGTTTTCATACGAATAAAAACTGCGTAAGTGTTTTCAACGGAGGAACGAGATGACAGAGATGTGTGTTTATCAAGGGAAGATAAGACTTCGGATAACACGAGGTCGTTAGGATGAGGGTCCATGTGCGCGACCTGCTCGAGTAAACTGCAAGCGGACAGGAGATTATGCTCTAAGCTGATTCGAATCCGACGCGCTAGGCTCAGGTGAGGCTTCGGAGTAGGGTCATCATCGACTGACGACAGAACGGTCTGTTCAGAGTCCTGGACCAATTTTGACGGCCAAAAAAGCTGCGGAAAGAAGGAAACAGGAAGAGATTCAACAGTGATTTTAGAGTTGCGCTCACTGTAAGAAAACACTGCCTTGGAGTTTGGACAACATCTCAATTACGACGGGGATTCATAAAGACCATTGATAAAATCCCACCAAACTTCTCACAATCAGCTTAGGACAGCGCATAGCATCACTCGAATCCCAGCATATCTGAGTGACGAGAAGTTGAAGGGTACTATGACTACCATAAAGATTCCACCAATATAAATAATGAGAGGACCGTGTAAGTCTCCAAAGAAGGTAGGTTTCATTTTTCACCGGTATCGAAAATCCCATGTGACTTTTTGTCATACAAGCGCATTCCTCACTTTCTAAAGAAGACTTGGGTGAAACCACCGGACAAGAACAGGCAATATCGTTAAATAAACAGTTTTTTGAGATTGTAACTTTCAAAAGGTGAACAGAAATAGTGAGTGTACAGTGTTTGAGTCACTCTGAAAGTAGCGGAGCATATGGGTTGATTTGCGTCACTTTGCATGGAAGGACTGACTGCGGACAGGTAGATTCACAAGAGCTAGTGTGGAATTCGCCCTGCCCTGAAATGCATCATCGGGCGTCAGGAACTATGGTAAGTGGCACTGATCACAAAGACTTAAGGTGTACTTTTTTCCAATAAGTAAAGGATAAACGTGGCCATCTTTCCAGTCATCCTTAAGTCTATCACCGATATGCTACTTGTAAATTCCTTAATTGTCTATAACACTATGACGATTGGAATTCTTCATAGTCGTTCACTTAGGAGCAGCGAGTAAACTAGGAATATCTCCGTTTGTAAATATGAACTTTATAAATAAGTTAAATAAGTTGTTATTGAGTTGTTCGCTTAGATTAGTAGTTTCCTGGCAAATGCACTGATGCCATCTATCATATCGATAGCTAACGGAGCCAAGTCTCCAAGCACAGAGAACTCAGCCATTAACTACACAATCTGAGCAACCAGGTTTCTCTTCCACATCACAACTCGAAGAATTCAGTAGGCGATCGCACGTGCAAAGCATAAGGGATAGTAGCAAGGTAAGAAGGACATCGAACCTACGTCTCGCCAATGCCATGGAGTAGATAAAACCCGAACGGCTTCGTGTTTCGTTGTAGCTTGGCAACGGAAGATATTAGCTCTGGGATCGGAGCGGTCAGAGTTGGTGCCCTCGACACCATTGGTATTGAAATGATATCAGTTTGTATAAAAGAGCAAGACTTTTGTGCACAGAGGCTGCACGAAAAATTCAGGCATCACACTTCAGTTCATTACTAATCGCCTTCCTCTTCACGATTGGTTAGGGACACTGACGGATAGTTCACATTACCGACCCACTACAAAAGCTATCAGTGCCAATTCGCACAGAAAAGTAGGGTCACAACATATCAAATTACCACACCGTGAAGATCACTGTTTATCACAGGTAAGACACTTGCTCAACTACGTCAATGACCCCATGCCGCTGAATACTGAAGATGCAACAGACAGAACCATTATACCATCAGTATGTTCGGGAGCTGACAAACCAACAAAAAGAAACAAAAAAAGCAATCCAGGAGGTCGACGATCGTCATAGTACGTGAAGTGTCTTCTGTTCGGTTCTGTAGTGTAAAGTCATCGGCTCGTGCCACTGAGACAAAGAATGCACACGGATCGGTTTTTTCACATCACTTAAGCCATAATTAAGATAAATTAGTATGAAAGCCGAACACAGTTTATAATGAATGAGTGCTTTGGTGGACTAGACTTCCACGTTATATCAAACAACACGTTTAAGAACGGTTTGGTAGTCTGATTGGAAATTGGAAGGATGCGGCCTTCGTTTACGATCAATGTACGCTTAGGAAAGTTGGTTGAGAACCCCTACAGGAAGCGCATTTATCTGAAGGAGGGTGTTACTCCCCTCCATTGAAATAGATTCAAGACAAGGTTGCTTAGATCCTATTCTAAAATCAACAACCATTGGAAAATACGTTAGTCGAGAAAGTTACAATGCTCAGACTCAGTTGTGCGTACTAGACGGAGATACTATGCGGTGCAACACTCTAGATCAAAACAGTCGAAGCGGACAAAATGGCTGAGAAGCTTAAGCCCTTGTTCTACCGGTGTGGATCCATTAAAGTAGAGCCTAATACTTTTGGAAGCATATTCGAAATGGCTAATGGGATCCTGTGCGCGTATGAGTTATGTGACCACTCAGTGATAATGGGGTTGTTGATTTCGCGCACAGCCTACGATCATATGCGATGCATGCTGATCTACGCTTGCGGCCCAATTGTATGAAAAGTGGTTAGTTGGCAAATCGTTGAAAAGTTTACAAAAAGGGAAACATTTCCGCCGTGTTACTGGAAGATCAATAAAATCACTTCTCAAACGAAGTAGACTTAACACAACAAACTAATTGGTCTCGGATACTTAGATTCATAGATTATTGTAGAGCAGCGAGACCCCGCACTACGAGTAATCGTTGTACGAGGCGGTCTGGGGGTAAAGTCGTACTGTCCTCTGCGACAGGAGTGTGGAGGAAGTAATGTGTTTCCCCCAGGCGACAAGCATGTCCATATTTATGAAAGCAGCGATGCTACCTTCCTCCGAAAAAGAACGGGTTAGAAAAGGTCAGCCCCAAAACCTCACACTCCGATCGCCCAACGGTTGACCGTGACCACCGGCGGATTATCCAATACGGTCGAAATACTTTTAAAGTCAAAGAGCCCGGTGCTGCTCACAAAGCACCTGGTGTGTGCAGCCGCATCAGGAATGAGACAGTAATGCCCTATTCCCTGCGCCCTCGGGTTAGGTCAACGCCCTGCAGCCGAGCAGGTCAGACTATTGAGTCGTCGGCTCCGGGCAGGGTCCCCAAAGAAAACCCTACATTCTCCCACTGCCTCGTGGGTCAGACTTTTGAGTCAGAGGCTAGGGTCAGGGTCCCCGAACAAAACCCTACGTCCTCCCACTGCCTTGTGGGTCAGACCTTTGAGTCGAAGGCTCAAGGTGGGGTACCCCAACCAAACCCCCTTCTTCGGCATGGGCAACCGGGAAGTATCATTTGCCCTCGCAGTTCAGTGTCCACCGATGTCCCTCCCCAATCCCTTCCAACCGCACAAGCAAACGTCGCTGGGCCATTTGACTGTCAGTCATCTGACCGAAGGGCCTTAGGCTCCTCGCTGCCTATAAACATTAAAAAAAACACCTTTCTAAATCCACGAGATCCTTTCTATATAGGAGCTTTTAACGTCCGTACTCTATGTCAAATTGGCAAACAGGCAATGCTTGCTGAAACCATGTACTCGCTTAAAATTGATGTATGCTGTGTCTCCAAAACACGTATACAAGACCCGAGCATGGTTCTGCATCTCAGAATGCCAAGGATGAACTCAGCTCTTTCACACTTCTTCCTCCGTGTGTCCGGTGACCCAGAAGCGATGACTCGTGGAATATATGGCGTGGGAGTTGCACTCAGCCCCAGAGCTGAACGCGCTTTGCTGGAT